GAATGAATCCCTTGGTGGCAGACCCCAGCCTGTCAGGAATGCTGATGCCCAGGGTTTTTCCTAAACTACAAGACATTATTATGTGGTGATATTGTGTCCCCCAACATATTGTGCACCCTAATAAATTTATCTGGGGTCAGAGAACAGAACAGCCACTAGATAGACATAGAGGCCAGAAAATGGTGGCACATACACCTTAAATCCTAGAACTCCAGAGGCAGAGATCTATCCGGATCTCTGTGAGTTCAAAGCCACACTGGAAACAACCAGGCATGGTGACATACGCCTTTAATCCCAGAAAGTGATGGCAGGAAGCAGAAAGGCAAGAAGCCTTACAGAAGGCATGAGGACCAGGAACTAGAGTCTTTTTAAGCTTTTAGGCTTTTAGCAGCAGTTCAGCTGAGATCCATTTGAATGAGGACACAGAGGCTTCCAAGTCTGAGGAAACAGAATCAGCTAAGAAGTTGGTGAGGTGAGGTGGCTGTGGCTTGTTCTGTTTCCCTGATCTTTCAGCATTCACTCCAATACCTGGCTCCGGGTTTGCTTTTATTAATAAGATCTTCTAACAATTCATGCTACACTATTATTTCCTCATTCACAGGTAAAGGAACTGAAGAGCCTCAGAGATGCGAAGTTGTTTGGATAAAACTTGGAAACCAGAACTGTTTCTTGAGTCTCTGATCCCGACTCTCCCATTTCCCTGCAAGCAGTTCTATCACAATGCCTCTCCAACTTGCCTATTATCTATTTATTGGAATATCAGGAGTACTCTTCTTCAAAAATGATGTATAGAGGCTCAGAAGATGCTTCAATAATTAAGAGCCATTGCTGCTCTTCCAAATCAACCAACTACAATTTCAGTTGCAGGGGATCCAATGCCTGCTCAGGACTCAGGACTCAGTGGGCACACATACACATACACACACACACACACACACACACACACACACACACACACACACACATGCTCACACATATAGCCAATTATATATAGTTAATTAAAATAAATAAATAAATCTTTAAAAACAAAAGGATATTGCCCCACCCCCACCCCCACCCCCCACACACTTTGGAAGTAAAATTCATTCCCCACATTTTGTCCTTTTTTTTTAAACTACAAATTTTGAAGAGCATGTGACAATATTTTGAACAATACCTAGAAGATTTATTTACTCCCTCTCTAAATGGGATTCACATTCTTAAAAATGTCCTTCTCTTAAATGTCTGTTACATATTCTTCACTGGAAATGATGCTCTTTGCTTACTCAGCGTCTCTTCTTTCGCCTCAAGCTTGGGTGGGGACCAGAAGCTCATTCTCACGTGATAGTGATAGGCTTAACTGTCTTGGCACCAGTTTCCCCAGAGACCACATAAGCAACTTGCATAACTTTCTGGTACCCAGGTCCCATCATCAATCACTGGCTTCAGTGTCGGCCGACAGAACAGGCAGAGCTAAAACCCTGCTCAAATGTACTGAGCGCCATCCCAGCACAGCAGGTCTCACCTCCCCGAGACTGGCTCTGTGCTGTTTAGAGGGCTGTGGAATCTTGTCCGCCAGCCACGGTGGAGCCAACACCCTTCCCCCACTGGGTCTGAAAACCTGTGCTTCCAGTTGAGCACGGCTCTCCTGCAGAGGCAGCCCTACTCTGAAGGCTTCCTCTAGGAAGGAGACAGGCCTGGAGCCGGCCTGCTGAGCTTGGAATTGATGGGGCTACAGCCCAAAGCCAAGAGGTGTCTTTTACAGCCAGCTTCAGAGAGAGCGGTGAATAAGACAGGGGGGAAGGGGCACACAACCTGATGAGAGACACAGGCACTTGGAGAGGTGGACAAAATGTAAATAACTCTTCTTAGGAAGAGTTTAGGGACCCGTTCTCATTAACTTAACACAGGGAGGCCGAGGATTCTGAAGGTGTCTGGTCCCTGTGGAATTCAGGCCTGTGCATCTGCTCATTATTCTCTCCATCTTTGCTGAACACATCAAGTCTAAAACACTGTGAGGGCCAGGGTCTTCTGTTGGCCCTACCTGTGTCTCAGGAAAGCAGAGTGTTCCAAAGATCTTCACAGTACTAGCCACTGACAAGGACATTTCATTTTTTTTTTTCTCTAGAATGCCGCTTCTTCCACGCTGGGGAACATGTTCTGTAGTTTTGCTTCAGTGCCCGGTGTTGGGTAGTTTTGCTTTCATAAGATATATCACCCTCCATACCCATCATCTTAATAAAAGTTGTCACCATCACCTTCCCATATGAGAAACAATTTGCTAGACATGATGCAGTGCAAATAATTAAAAGGAAACATGGTCCCAATTATTGGGAACTCAGGTGATATTACACAGAAAAACAGCTAGGACAGTGTGTGGCTTTTAGCAGTTTCTCAAGAAGTTACAATCTCCTGTGATGGAGACGTCTATAATCTAAGACAGAACCAATACTGAAATGGACACAATCACTATTGTACTGTGAGCAGATCCCTAAGCAGGGTAAATAAGTCCTACACTTAAATCATATCTCAGCAAAACAATATATTATGGAATACGAAGAGCTGACAGCCTGGCCGATATGGTGACAAGGTGAGACTGCATAAGACCATGTATTCATTTATCTTTTATGTGACCTGAGACCTCCTGGCAAGCTTTGGGTTCAGAAGCTGTTTGGCAGAGCAAAGAGCTGAATCAAACAAGCTTTGAAGGAGAGAAGCACTGTTAGAGCACAGCTTGCACAGAGGTCCATCGTGGGGATGTGGAGATATATATATATCTATACAGAAAGACCACACATGAGAGAATTTTCTAGAGAAAATATTTGTAAGAATATACAGCGGCGCTTGTGGCTGGCCGTGGCTACCGTGTGGAAAGGTCACAGTCACAACAGGACACAGTGATACCTTTTAGAGCTTTATTAAGAGAAGGACAAGCCGGGCGGTGGTGGCACACGCCTTTAATCCCAGCACTCGGGAGGCAGAGGCAGGTGGATCTCTGTGAGTTCGAGGCCAGCCTGGGCTACCAAGTGAGTCCCAGGAAAGGCGCAAAGCTACACAGAGAAACCCTGTCTCGAAAAACAAAACAAAAAAAAAAAAAGAGAGAGAGAAGGACAGAGACAGAGACAGAGAGACCATGTGGAGGGAGAGTGCAGAGAGAGGGCACGTGGGAGTGCATGTCCACTTTTAGGCTGGGACGCAGTCCCCTGCTGATGACTACAGATTGCTTACAATATTGATACTTCTTTTGCCAGTTGTTAGGGTCAGAGCCTCATCCTTGGCAGTTCTAACAAACTAGACTTAGTCACCCATCCTCTACAAGCCAATTAAAGAGACCAGCCTCAAAGAACAGAGAAAGGCAATGTGATCAATATGGCCACACAAGAAAAGAGATTCAGGGAGCCCTTTAGTCCATCATCAGAGTCCCGACATGAGGCTTAGGGTTAGGAAGGCATGAGGTGTGTATTTTCACAAAGTCCTCCTTAAGATATGGTACCACACATCACTTCTTGGCTCCTGGCTCCTTGTCTACCCTGCAAGTTGTCAGCATCCTGTGAAATTTCTTCCTAGGAGGTAAGCTAGCTCTCTGGCTGGCACAAGTGGTAAGAAGACCTCAATGTGAGACTCCTGGGGTTATCTAATTCCTTACAATCTGTTATCAATAGTCTGATAGCCAAAGGGGTACAAGTGTCTATCTTTAGAATACCACCACTCCTGCCAATATGACTGTAGCTCTTTCGCTTCTCTAGAAGAATGAACAGGCTACTAGGAAGGATGGGCAATCAGGATAACTCCAAGAAGGTGCTGGTACAAGGATGAAACAGTGTAGACTGTGATCAGAGGGCACAGCATGATCAGGAGAAAGGCAGGAAGACTTGATTCTATCCTTGAGTTTTTCAATATGCAACACTGTACACTAACTTCCAGCCCATGTCATGTTGATGTTGGTATCACCCAAGTCATTCAGAGATAGACTGAAAAATACAGATGCACTGCATCCTCCTTTATCCAGAATGTCTGTGGAGGGACGTTCTCATTACCATCTATTAGTACCATGCCTTAGTTTTTTTGGTTTTGTTTTTCAATATTGTGGTGAAAAAAATCCCTTACAGGCCAGATGCCTGCCCTTTGTGTGGGAGGAGTCAGTGGATATCAAAATATAAGATGCTCGAAAGAGAACAGATCAAAAATGGGCACAAATCAGAGGCCTACAGACCAAAGTTGGGCACTATGTCACATGCCTACAATCCTAGCACCGAGGAGGTTGAGGCAGGAGGGCTAGAAGATTGAGGCCAGCTAGGGCTAAATAGTGAGACTGTCTGACCACAAATCAAACTGAAAGAGAAGAAGTCTGTGTAACAGGGAACTGTAATGGAAGGCAGAGTGGCAAGGCAGAAGGAGGAAGATGACAGGGACAGAGGAATGAGGCAGAAGTACTGGAGAGGAACTACTCCAAGGAGTTGTTCCAAAGACCAGGATTGGTTGTTCTGTCTCAACAGCCACACCTTAGTTTGCGTGAGGGCACGCCATGTGAGAGTCCATCCCCTCTTTGGTTTTCAAGTGATAATCTTAAAGAAGTTCGCTTTAATGAATGTTAGGAAAAGGAAGATGAGAAAAATTAGACTGCAAAGTTCTATGCAGTTGCTCAGTAAAGCTTGGCAGACCTGGATTTTAAGAGTTTTGTAGACCACCACTGAACCAGAGCCACTCAGCCAATTAATACTGCAATGCACATTACATAATTAGGAAAAAATTATAAACACTAATTAGAGTGAAAAACCTAGAAGAATAAAATGAATGGAAGAGAGACAAAGTATTGGTAGTGAATAAAATGTAAGAGAAAAGGAAACGTTATAATCACAGAACAGTAAGGAGTGCTTGGAAGTGTTATCTCTTAAGGAGGGCTTCTAGATGAAGATAGGGCTGTAAAACCTGCAAAATGGAAGTCTAGGAAGGGAGACTGTGTAGGTAGGGTTGCTCCTTACTGGGGGAGGGGATTGGTGCCAGGACAGGAAGATGCAAAGTCCAGAGAGCCGTGAAGGTATTCCATGGTGTTCGAGTAGAGAATGAGGAATCTTGACATCCAGACTGGATATACTTCACAGGAGGCAGCCTGTGTTTAGTGCTGATCAGTCAGATAAGAATGGAAGTGAAGAGGCACTGGAGACAAGATCCCAGAGAGGAATGCCAAGGTAATAATTCAGGCAGGAGGTGATGAGAACCTGTCTCTGCAAAGATATGTAGAAAGACTGTTGAGAAAAGCTGCCGCCGTCGCTGGAGATAACAGCTCACCGACTGGGATCTATTTCATGGAATGGAAATTCTAATCACATGTAAATATTATTGCTTTTAAATCTGGGATTTGGCTGTGAGTGCATTTTCCTCGTGCAGGACATTTTTTGATTGGTTGGCTGAGTGTAGGGTCTGTTATTGTTAGTCCTGTATCCAGTAATTTATTTCAAAACTGCGTAGAATTTCTGTGCTCTGCTGCTTCTGTTTAGTGGGAAAGAATGTGCTATTTAGCTTTCCTCTGTAGGAAGGGTAAGAAAAGGGAGACAGAGAGGAGACGGATGACTGCTTATTTTACATTCTGAAGTTCAGCAAGCTAAGGCTGGTGCCTCCATGATCAATGTTTTTAGTAAGCCTGTCTGGGAAGGAAAGGCATGGAAATTATGTCTTTCAGAAACCATCCCTGCCTTTTGTTCAGTTTAATTCAGGATCTCAGCAAACGAAGAGTCACAGGATTTTTCTTATATGTCTGTTCTGATATTAAAAAAAAAAAAAAAACAAAAAAAAAACCAAAAAAACCTTCTAACAATGAAATGATACCTGCCCCTGAAAACTGCTTCCATTGCCTTTCTCCTGGGATGTTTGAATCCTGTGAACACAAATTGTCTTAGCAGTAGAACTGGGACTTGGTCACTAGGTGACTTGAATTTATTGCTAGAATTTCATATGGTCACTTGTTCTCAGTTGTCTGTCAGCCTGCACCAAAGACTCCAGTCCAAGGCAAAGCCCTTGAATGGGACTCTGGAGACCACAAAAGAGGGAAAATTAGAATTTGGTAACATCCCAGAGGGCAGAAGTGGAAAATTTTAGGCATCACACAGCTACTATCAGACTCCTGGCTACAAATTTCAACAGAGATTTGGAGGTTTAAATTTAAATGCATGCATTTGAATGTGTTTGGAAATTTAGCATTTCAATAAGCTATCTTCCTCCTGAAACACTGAACTTGGAACAGAAAAAAGAAGCAAAGCGATTTTCTTCAGAAGTTGACTGCCTACAGCCCTAAGTTTCTTATGATGTCTCTAACAATCATGGTGCCACGAAAGACCCAGGTTCAGAACCCATCAGTGTCCATGGATGACTTGGTTGTTTATATACTTGTTTTCAATGTCTGCTTTTTTGAAGAAACTGTCTCCCTAGCAGGACCTCTTCTTTAGCTGAGTGTTGCATGGGTCCTCCCTGCCTTGCTTTTCCTCACTGTACTTGCTGATTCTTGCTCTACGACTCTGTCCTTTCTGGTAATGTTCACATCCCTAGTAACAGATTTAAAATTCCCCCACTACTGTAAACCATAGGAAATGATAATTTCCTCAGTACCTAAATATCCAGAGGAGATCTTAAAGATGAAAATGAATGTCTCTGGAAACAGGATGCTGCAAGGAGTGAGGCTTCTATAACTATTATTTTATGTTTTACTGGCATGTATTGGTGAGCCATATTGATTAGCTCAGTGTGACATTTCAAGACGTGTGCACAGTATATCCTGGTCACATCCAACATTTTAGGTGGTATCAGAAGGTTTGGGGACTCAGTGGTCACCTGCTGGGAGTCTAGAGTTTTGTGTTGTAGAACAAGGAGTTGATATGAGTGCAGACAAAGCAGAGGTAGCTTAAGCAAAAATACACTTCTGAGAGCCTTGGCACTCCAGGACCAGAAGAAAGGTTAGAAGCTTGATGAAGTACGAAAGATTGAGACTTTTATAGGTCATTGTCACAGTATGGGCTTTCTGGCTCATTTGCATAGTGCCAGCTTGGTCTGTTATGCTCCATGTACTACATGGCATCCTTGGAGGCGGGGGCGGGTTCCAGTCTTCCTCTTTGCCAGCTGCTCTCTTTCACGTGCTAATGCATATAAAACTCTTGTTTCTGTTCTACTTCACTGGCAGGGTTTGGGGAGGGGTTTGGGGAGGGGTTTGTAGGTGGGGGAGTGGGGGATTTTCAGAGACCCTGAAAGGAGAAATGCATGCTGTATTAACCTGCTGTGATCTTATTGCGGGATGCCAAGAGGGAGTGGAGGATGCCAAAGGGAAGAGGAATTCTAAGGACACTGGAAAGGGTTCCCTGGACACTGTCATAAGGAGTTTGTACCAAAGGCTGTGAAGGAGCTGGCTGATAGTTTTCACCAGACAGGCAGTTCTTCCTTGGCGGCTAAAATTCTGTCATCTGCCAAAATGTGTAGGTATTATAGTTGGGTGTCTGGCTTGGGTGATAAAGTTATCTCTTGTCAATCTTTCAGTTTTCTTCTTCATCTGTATTCAAAGAAGCCTCATTGAATAAATTCTGGTTTTGTCCGTGTTCCTTATAATTTGGTCCTTTGCACCAACTTGAAAGGCCCTTGGAATTCCTTAGAGATTTCTCAAAGTTCAGCCCCCTCAGTTTCCCTTGAACTTCCTCTGCCGCCCAGGCTAGCCTCAGCCTTGAACACACATTCATTCTCCCTCAGCCTCCCTAGTGCAGGATCGTAGGTTACACCCTTACTCCCAGCCAACTTCTCCTTTTAGTGTCGGCTGGTGTTAGTTGGACGGAAACAAACCAGAGCCGACATCAAACAAAGTTCAGAAAGTGAGAAACTAGCTGGAGGATGCAAAGGAGTATTATGAAATGTTATCTTCTTAAGATGACGTGACTGCTTGCACCCGTGAAATTATATCAGAAACAAGTACTTATACAAGACCTGTAGAAGACTAGGGCCATCAATAGTCCAACATTGATAGGGCTCATAAGGTCCACCCCTCCCTGAGGAGCTATAGGTAGTTAGTTAATGGTTGCTGGGAGAGGGGGCTGTCATATTCCTCTATGGTTTTGTCACTAGTAAGTTGCCCTTGTTCAAAATATACTCCCAATCTGTATTCATGCAAGCAATCCTTGTTAAATGGAGTAGGTCACACATACACAAAAAGATACAAAACTAGGAGAAAGAATATTTGGGAACAAGGAGGGGTTCAGTGGAAGCAGGACAGAGGTAAGAGATGATAATGGGGGAGAATATAATCAAAGTATATTATATATGCATATGTATAAAATTGTGAATGAAAACATCTCAAAAAAAATCACACGTGTCAGTCAAAGTGCTGCCCTTCTTAGCAGCATTCGCCTCTGCAATGTCAACAATAACTTCATTTAGTGGTTTGAATCCATGAATAAATACCTCATGGAGGGACCTAAGAGAAGCAGATGTCTGACCCATTGGGATCCCTTCCAGATTTATGTCTATGAAGAGTATAAACTCAGGAAGAGCCAAGCCAAAGAATGTTTGCTGGCATCTCTGCATGGCAAGTCACGGACTTTGAAATCATGGTTCTATCAGGGTGTGCAAACTTCATCTAAACCAAGTAACTGTACTCCAACAGAATTCAAATTATCAAACCAGAGGTTAAAAACCGATGGATTTCTGTCTTCAAAAGTGTGGAAGACATCACCCTGTCTAACTTTCTAGTCATATTCTCATAAACAGCACTTTAAATTATTTTCATAATGACAACAGAGCAATTGATTGTTTCCTTTATGAATAGTCTTCTGATTTATACTTTTAAAGGCATTAGGTTATGTTAATAATAGAATATGTAAATCACCTTTTACCTCCAATCAGTGTCTGAATTACTGGCTTTGTATTCTTTTGTTAAAATCATACTTTTAAAACATATTCTCAAAAAATTTCATACATATATACAATGTATCTTATTATCCACTGTCCCTATCCAGGTCCCCTTATGCCCCTCAAACACAGCTCCCTCCCAACTTCATGTCCTCTCTCTCTCTCAAAAGATTTCTGTTTGTTCCAGTAGTTTTAATCTGTTCTTCCTGCACTTGCTCATGTCTCTTAGACACACCTTTTTCTCTGATAAACACCAGGCTGCTTTGTGCTCTTTCTGCAGTGTGCATTTCTTTTTTCTGTTGTTATGAATGTTCTGTTTTTTCCATAAATTTTTCCAGGATTATGACTTTTCTCCATTTTTCTCTTCTTAATTTTCTGGGTTATTTGATTTGCTTTTCCATTTCTTCATACTAATTTTATTTTTTGTACTTTCTTAGTACATTCATTATTCTTTTTTCTACATCAATATACATGTATCTACATTTATCTACATATATATGTATGTATATAGGTACATGCATGTATAGACAAATTTGCATGTATGAATATAGATATGTATACATATGTGTATACATGCATACATATACATTAACATATAGTTATGTATATGTATAGCCACATACAGATTTGTATAGGCACATATAGATATGTAAAAACATATATAGATAAGCACATGCACACATAGATATGTATAGGTATATGTGCATACAGATATGTATGCATATACACATATAGATATATGTGCATATTGTATATACTAAGCTTTTAGGAATTATGTGTAATGTAGAGAAGATTTCAAGTATACAAGAGGATGTATATACAGTACATGTGTATTAATTACTTTTCTGTTGCTGGTATAAAACACTATAACCCAACTTATAGAAGGGTTTATTTGGCACATATTTTCAGAGTGACAAAGAATCCATCATGGCAGGGAAGGCATGGCAACAGGAAACTGAGAGATCCCATTCCAGCTGTATACAGGAAGAAGAGAGCAAAAGCAGGAAGGTGAGGTAAGGCTGTAAACCCTCAATGCCCACCCCCAGTGACGTATTTCTTCCTTGCTGGCTTTACCTCCTCAGAGTTCTAGAGCTTCCCTAAACAGCACCACCAACTGAAGACCAAGTGTTCAAACAGATGGAACCACCACACTGAATTGGATATTATAGGTCATGTACAGAGGAGACACTAGCGAGTTTTTGTTAACTTGTTACAAACCTAGACATATCTGGGAAGAGGCAATCTTGATTGAAAAAACGTAATCCACAAAGGATTGGCCTGTTGGCATGTCTGTGTGGGCATTTTCTTGATTAATCATTGATGTGGGAGGGTTTGGCCCATTGTGGATGGTGACCGCTCTGGGCAGGAGGCCTTGGGTTGTATAAGAGAGAAAACTGAGCAACCCAGAGGGAACAAGCCAGTAAGCAACACTCCTCCATGGCTTTTGCTTCAATTCCTGACTTCAGGTTTCTTATAATAGACTGCAAAGAGTAAGCTGAAATAAACCCTTTTCCTTCCCAAGCTGGTTTTCCCAGAGAAACACCTCCAAACATCTAAATTACCCAAGATGGGCACCAGTGACAAACTATAGTAAGTTTTATCCAAAGTCCAACTCAGTTGAGACCAGTAAGTTTAGTGGGCTTTCTTACAGAATCCATAAGGGTTACTTACAGAGAGTAAGTGACCACCACATATCTAGATTACCTCCAATTCTCACACCATCACAGGTGGTGACCTCATGGACACTACATCATGGAGACACACTTTCATTTAGCCTTTTACTTCCCATGTGCTCTAGCATCTCCTAAGATCACACGCTACTTGGGAAGAGGATAAAAGAATGATAGCAGGAATCTCATCCTGACTGTCCTTTTCTAGGCTACTAGGGAGAGGTAAGAGTTCTACTGATGCTTCTGTGGACCTGGTCAATGCTGCACTGATCTTTTTTAGTTTCCATGGCTACCAGGACAATTCCAAGATGGTATCCTGCTAGGCTCTGAGGAAAAAGTGCCACCCAGCTGGAATGAACATAAAAACATTCATGTTTCAGAAAGAACGCAGGTGTAGGAGGCTGAAGGCCACATGCCAAGCTGGTCTATGAACATCTCTTCTGTACTAGTCACAGAGGAACATAAAGAAGGAAGAACGTCATGGTGGAACCCATCTTTCTGGTGCACACTGCTCACCCTTTGGTTGAACACTCTGAATATCTATGGTTAGGCAGCATATTCCAGGTGCCATGTTTTGATACATTACAACTCTTCTACCTTTTTAACATTCTTCATTCTGATTCTGCTTTCCTACCTCTGCCTGGCTTCTTCTCAAGTCATTTTAATTGACAACACCTGTTTTACTAGTGTTAAACCCAAGTACACTTTTTCCCTAAAATATTTTCTAAAGCTGTCATATCCCAGCTCCCAACTCAAGAAAAAGTACATACAACTCAAGAAAAAGTACATACAACTGGAAAAATGGCAGAAAATAAAGAAATAGTGAACGTTTGGGGGGAATATTATGTCATAAGTCATCATTATCCTCACCATTACAAACACAGTTGGTTGTGCTAGAGCATCTAACCTATGCTGGCCCTTATCAATAGTATAACAGCTATTATCCCAATTATACTTGTGAAACCCAAGTGCTATTAGAAAGTTAACAAATTAGAAAACACTTTCAATGTGTCACACAAAGTCAACTATGTGGTCTGGGATAGAATCTAGACTCATTTTCAGAACATAGCACACAAGTAAGACCTGACCCCTTGTCTCCATTCAAGTGTTTATTCCCACACCCACCATTCTCCTAATTTCTTCTACTTCATTGGATGCCCAATTCTTGTTTGTGGATCACTACACAGACACACACTCACACCTCAGTCGGTCCACACACAGCTAAGCTTCCACAGTCTGATCCCTTCAGTCACCTTCGTAAGTCTTCTGTTGGTGCCCTGTAGAAATCCTCACATTCTCAGAGTCTTCCCTGGGTATTCTTTTATTTCCTTCACTCGCCTATGTCTTACTGCCCTCAGTCCATTTCCTCCATGGCCTTTTCAAGAGGAAGCTGGCCATGTTCACATTTCCACAGATATGTCAGGCCCCTAAAATGGGATTCCCTTTCTCCTTAATGGTACTGTGACTTTCAACTAGAACCTGAAGTTGTCAATGATTACCACTTTTGTTTTTATTACTTGTTGATTACAATTCTGGTAAATTGCTATCAGTATCAGAAACTGTCAGTTTTGGCTGAACTTTAATTGCCTCCCCACTTATGACCTTTTAAAAATATTTTTAATTGACACACAACACACATGCAAGCACATAACAGTTGAACATCTCTGTTTAATGCAGTGTGGCATACACACACAAGAACTGTGCGTGTGTGTATGTAGAATAAGTGTGATATACACACATTATATAAAATCAAGTTGAACGTATTTATTACTTTATGGTGAAAACTTTCAGAATTCTCTCTTCTACTTTTTGAAACATTCAGGAAATAACTATCATTTCTACTCCCCATACTGTGCACAAGTGTGCTGCTGTCAAACCTTTCCCTATGCTTTACTCCTGCCCACCTTCCCCAGACTCTTTCTTTTACAGCTATGATTTCTCTTATAATTCTTGATGATTTTAAAAATCTACTTGAATGATTTCTTCTCCATCCTGGTATTTGTGTTCATGTTCTTTTCATACATCCAATATACAATATTTTCTCTCACTTGGTCCTGCCCTAGATTGTCACACCTTAGGTTACTTTTCATTTTGTAAAATAACCCCGACACATTCTACCTTAGTAACTTGAACAAATTAGCTACCGTCTCGCTCAGCAGTTACTCCTGCAAAGCGAGTGCATTGGTGGCTCCCAACTTGGAGCTGTTGTGCAGGGGGAGGGAGTTCATGGTCCTGAGCTCTCCAGTATAGACACTCAGGAACCACTACTGCTGCTATGGCAATTATTCAGTTGTCACTTAAAAATCCTCCATTCAAAATGTCTTATGTCTGAATGTCACTTCCTATCTGTTGGGTTTACTTACTCTCTTTCTATGAAATCCTCAGCCTGAAGAGAGTGAGTTCCTGTTTCCTTACACCTTATATACCTTTTTCTGCCCTGCCATATCACTTCCTGGGATTAAAGGCATGTGTGATTCCCAAGCAAAGGCATGAGATCTCAAGTGTTGGGATTAAAAGTGTGTGCCACCATGCTTGGCTCTGCTCCCAGTGTGGCCTTGAACTTACAGAGATCCAAATGGATCTCTGCTCCTGAGTGACAGGATTAAGGGTGTGTGCCATCACTGTCTGGCCTCTCTGTCTAATCTAATGGCTGACTCTGACCTCTGATCTCTATATTGGGGTGCACAATGTATCACCACAAAATCTCCATCTGTGTCAAGCTCTCTGGTCATTTGTTCACCATGTTTTACAATTGCCCACACTCCAATGGTACAATCAGTTAGTGCACAGTACTTAAACAATTTACCACCCTGAACACAGCCTTCCTCCCTCACCCTGATTAGCTTCTGTAACTCAGCTCAACAGTCACTCCTTCACAAACACCTTTTACTCTGGTTAGTCCCCTTTCCTACAGTCACACTTTCCTACACTTCCCAAATATTTGGTTACTCCATATCCTCAGCTGAGCAACTTAAAACAGCCTGTGAAGAGTTGCACAGCTTGATGCATAAGTACATCTCATTACATTACCTGGACTCCCCATACCGTCAGATGTTGACCAAAGTTTATGCTTTGCCTAGAATGCCTTGGCTGTTAACATTATGCAGTTCTTTGAACTGCTGTGATCAGGACCCATAGCCTTCTTTTCTCCTCTGACTGTGGAATAGGAACCATGCTCCTTTCTAAGGCAACCTCTCTGTTCTATGACCTGGTGCCCTCATCTCTTCTTCAAGCCATATGCCAACATCTATCTCCTCAACAAAACAAATGAGACAACAGAAACAAAAAAAAATGCTTTGCATTTCATAAAAGTTCCCTCAATTGTGTTTTTCTCAATACCCACTGGAAGTTCACATGCCTCACACAGGAAGCTTTTTATATCCCTAAGTGTTCCTTCTATCACATTGCTATATCACCTTTATTAATTACATTTCTCAGTACCAGGAGTTGTATTAACTATTGTTTATATTCTTATTACAAATCTTCTACTTGGAAGAAAGCAAGATCAACAGGGAAATAGTTACATCTCACTCTGTTATAATCCCGTATTTTAAAGAAACAGTGTCTAACACTACAAAAACACCATGAACATTTTTGCATAAATAACTCAAGACTGTGCTGTTTCTGCTACAACTGAGTAAGTCCCCTCTGAAGGTGATCTTAAGAGGTGGAGGTGGGGAGCTGGATTGGCATTTATGGAGAAACAAGGATTGATAGCACTTTGCTGTGACAGAGACTTCTGCAGGAGTCAGACCAAGAAGCAAGGGTCGGTCCCACTGGTATTGTAATGAGAAAAAATAAGTTCCATGAACTCAAGATCAACTAGAGAAGGAGTTTGGGTCTTGGAGGCTTTCACTTAAGGGGCAGAGTTTGCATAGAAGCACAGTGCAGATACAATGTGTGCACAGAGAATTTTAAATATGACAAGACAGGCGTTCGGATGCTTGACTCTACAGGTAGTGTTCTGATGCTCAGAATGACATGAGCATTTGAAATGCCGAGGAATGTCATGGTCAACCACATTTAACACAACAGTTCTTGGTATTTTCATTAACAATTATCATTTCAATCAGTTATAGTGGGTGAATCCCCAAACAGAAAAATCCTTTGGACTTGGAACTTGGCAGGGAAAGACTTTTCCCCAAAGATATTTTCACCCAATATTTGAATTACACAAATGTCAAAATATGTCATTTGGAACATGGTATTTTCAGCTCACATAAAATTACTTTTTTTGAAGATAATATTTATAGACTATAGAACATGTCATTAATTAGCTTTATTTTAAAATTAGAAAACTAAGACACATGTGTGCACTGTGTTATGTCTGCCAAACTCTGGTT